TCAAATTAATGATCAATTTTGAACTGACTGCTTTTGTGTGTTTGATTTCAAGTTCTTAAAGGCTTACAACCCGCGTGAACGCTTGTTATCATGAGGATAGTTCAGTCAACCAACCTCACCACGTCTATCGAGGTTAAGCGATGACTCAAGCCTTTGCAGTGATCAATTTTAATCTCTTAACTTCTTAATCAATATATTTTCACCTCCAAATGCCCTACCAGATTCCCCCCTCCCTCCCCCCCCCCATATCTTAATAAACCTAACGCTATTTTTTTAATTTTATGCGTGCACAAAATTTTTACACTTCAGTTTCCACTGTCCTCTTCTTTTCTCCCCAACACTTAAATGTCAATTACTAAAGTAAGTTCCTTTAATTATCTCCCCACATACTCCAACCGAATTCTGTATCCCACACTTAATCTACCTTCTGCTTTTGTGTCCATCTGATGCTTTCCAATAAATTCTCGCTATTGTAAAACTTCCGCATTCTTTACTGCTTTAACTCCATATCTTATGAAACAATCACTTACTCTACTAATTATTTGGCGAGGAAATATTTATGCTAATTTGTTAGTCACTGTTAATCTATTTTTAAATCTTCGCGAATTGCATAAAATTAAAGCATTAGCGCTCATATTCGTCCTCCTGACTAATAAACTTGATTCCCCGAAATTAAGCGAAATCAAGAGCTACTTCCAAAATGGTTTATCGAACAGTAATTAGTCAAATTCAAATCGAATGGCAAAACAATTGTTATGGCCAACCGAATTTACTTTTAAGAATCGCTCCTTCTCTATTGAATAAAATTGTGCTTTATCAGCGTGAACGATTTCATACGGTATAGAAAATCAATACAGAAGAGTGTTTGATCCGCCCCCCCCCCACCCACCCACCCACCCACATTTACTTAATTTAAGAGCTAAATCGAGCCTTTATTAAAGTTTAATTTACCTGAATTAGAGGCATATATGTATCCCTAGTAAGCATTTATTTAAAGGGAGGGAAGTCTTTGAATCTTCAAGCAGTTATAAGATGATATTAAACATTTCGACAGTTGTTGTGTTGCTTTTGCATAAGACACCGATTTTCAACAGTGTCAATTTTTCCTAATAACTTGGCCTAATTAAAATGAAATCATTGAAAATTTATTACCATTTTAAAGGAAATTTGTGCAATCTGTTATTGAAAATTTGAGAAAAAACCTTTTCCCCTTTACCAAGAAGAGCACATATTTTATATTCGGAGAAAGGGAATCATTGAAATCATTATTATTATTATTATTATTATTATTATATTAAATGGCAAGCTTTTTGATTGTTATCATTAGCCCTTAAGTTGACTTCAGTCTTCACAGAGGGGAAGGAACATCAAAGTGTAAAAAATTCAAGAGGGGGGGGGGACAGAAGAGTGTATCAAAGACGAAGGTAGTTAAAGTGGAACAAAGGTGGGATGAGTACTGTGAAAGTATTCGAATATGACATACAGTGGGGTCATGGCAGTTTGAAGTCAACTGCCAGGTAATAGACTTTTTGCCGTATGAGTATACGTTGCCCAGGGTCCACCACGTGGAGGTAAGTCTATCACATACCCCTCATTGAAATCATTTTCAGTCATAATTCTTTCGAGAAATTGAAATTTACCTATGCTAAATAAAACTGAACAATTCTAAACTTAATTCTCACAATACAATTCAGAATCAGAATAAATGATGGTTCCATTTTTTCTGGATTGTGTGAATATTCCAATCTAGAGGCGTAAAAAGGAGTTGACACGAATGATTCACTTCAAATAAAGCAACAACAACAACAACAACAATTTTTACTACGAGAGTGACTAAGTAGTAACAAAAATCGGTGATCAGGAGAGAGAGAAAATCTTCACCAAACCAGTTTGCACGAGACATGCAATTGAAGTCAAAGATGGGACGCCTTTTAACTCTGGCGAAAATTGACCCCAGAATCAATGCTTAAATGAAAGTAGAACTGACAATTTTCTTTGTTAAAGGTAAGATTGTGGCCAGTTTTTTCGATGTAATTGACGTCAGTAGAATAGGAGTAGAAAAAAGAAAAAGGAAGGGGGGGGGGGGGAGAAGGTAGCAAAAGTGCGTTAGAGGTCCCACGTAGTTCGCCTCTCATTAGGACTTCACGTTACTGTCTACAGATCCTCAAGCGCTGCTTATTTCTTCTTCTTTTCAGCACGGAGGAGATATTCACACAATAATAGACAATAATAGACAGTCATTCTACTTGACCGATGAGATTAATAGCATAGATCGTTCATGCTCTTCAAGGCGGCCCAAATGGTTAAGCATTAAAATACCTCTGATGAAAATTATCACTGAACCATTGCATGTGGCAAGCTAATTATTCAACTGTGTAAGCCATTAAACTATATTTATTTATTTATATCAAATAGCAGGCGTTCTGATAGTTATCATTAGCCCTTTAGTTGACTTCAGGCTTCACAGAGGGGAAGGAACATCAAAGTGGAAAAAAGTCGAGAGGGGAGGGGAACAGAAGAGTGCTTCAAAGACGAAGGTAGAAAAAAGGTGAGGTGAGTACTGTGGAAGTAGTCGAATATGGCATGCAGTGGGATCATGGCAGTTTGAAGTCAGAAGTCAGCTGTCCATTGATAGACTTTTTTTCGTATGAGTGAACGACAACTTCCGGTTAATAGACTTTTTACCGTATGAGTATACGTTTCCCAGGGTGCACCACGTGGAGGTAAGTCTATCGCACACCCACCAGGGTGCACCACGTGGAGGTAAGTCTATCGCACACCCCTTGTCAGGGTGCACCACGTGGAGGTAAGTCTATCGCACACCCCAGATGTGCTGCGGCCAACGCGACACCAGCGCCACTGCTTCACGTGACCCTACCCAGTTTCGAACTGGGGACCTTCTGCGTGTCAGGCAGACGCAGGATCACATGCTCCAACGCCATTAAACTATATGACGTTAAATTAAATCCGGAAGAGCTTTTTACACTAAATTCTATGGAACATGCGTAAATACTAAAATTAGTTTACACCGCAATGGTAACTAAATCAAAAAGGGGAAAAATATTAAACATGCGCTAAATTCCATTGACTAATTTAAAATTACGATTCTATCATATAGTTAAATATAAGTACAGTTTTGCATTAAGACCCATTAATGAAGTTTCGAAAAGTACCTTTTAAACTAAGTAAAACTTTTCATTAATAAAAATAGGTAAGGCGCACTTTTCCTCCTGTGATGTTCACGGTTGCTTATATGGGGTGAAATTGTGTTAACAGATAATTTAGCTTAAAAAATAAAAACACAAGAAATTTAAAACTTAAAGCAACCAGCGATTTACCACTGGAATACGCTGCAAATTCAATTTAATGTTACTGAACTCTATTTAATCATATGCTATTAGACATGCTTTTCTTATTAAACATTTTGAAAGGTAGTTGATGCAAAGATCAATGCCAACAGTAACAATATGTCTTTATGTCAAGTAATAATCATCCTTTCCGTTCAAGTCCTGCAACTTTCTTACAGTTAAGGTTTATTCAAGTTAGGCACTAAGTCTAATTTTATTGAAAACAACTGAGACTTTAATCTCGTTCAGCTAGACTAGCAAGCACACCAAGACAGGTCCATTCATTATATCGTATAAAACCATATATACTCTAATTCATATGGGCAAAAATAGATCCAATTGCACTAATAAATTTAAACTCACTAATCACTAATGATTTAAGTTCTTGAACCGTCATGAAAAAAGGTGTCAAAATTGAGTTTAAATTAAAAGGTTAATAATAATGATGACGCAAATAAATAATGAATAAACAAAGACAAAATCGTTAGTAATTCGTCTATATTTGCAATAAATTGAAAAGCCACAGAGACATAAAAAGAATAAATGATCAGTGAAAATATAATTCTTTCAGGGAATATTATGATACGTTATATAAATTACTCGGGGGGTTCGATAGACTTACCTCCATGTGGTGCAATATGGGCAGCGTTTACTCATACGCAAAAAGTGTATTAATCGGCAGTTGACTTCTGACTTCAAATTACCATGGCACCACTGTATGTCATATTCCACCACTTTCACAGTACTCAATATACCATTCCACTCTAACTTTGTGTCTGTCTCTCCTTTACATTTTTGAATCGTTAATCTGTTCGCCCTCTCCTCTTTTTGTGACTTTGATGTTCCTCCCTTTCGCTAAGCCCGAAATCAAATAATGGGCTTATAATAAGTAGCAAAAAGCCTGCCGTTTGATGTAAATAAATGTGCATTAATTACGTAAAAGGTCCACTGCTGTGGATGCTGGAAGCACTAATACGGCAAATAACTTTGAAATGGCTTACCTTTGTCAAAAATGGCGAAAATTTCTTATCTGTTCCTAATTAAAATTTATCGGTGTCAATAGGAATTGGAAATATGTCGATAAGCTGCATTCATTTATATTCTAGATTAAAATTAAGATACTTGAAGTCGACGTATCCACAGGGATGAATTATTCATTTGTGCATTAACTTACCCATGATTTATAAATTTTTCGTTTTAATTTCGAATTTTTCTAAAAACGCAGTTATTAAATGCAAAGATATTTTATGCATCTAAAAATTTAAATAATCAAAAGCTGTTTGGTGTGTTAGATTTCATTTATGCTTTTTATTTAAAAAAATATTTCCTTTCTATTTGTTTTAATTTTTATGATTGAACGCTCTACATTTGTTGTGATTGTTAAGTAAGTTTTGTTCTGTTGTCTTTTCAAATATCTGTTTTGTTCTTATTATGTATTATTTAGTCACATTAACGTAGCTATGCATTTAATTTATTTAGATGAAACTTTCTTGGACTTTTAGTTATTGATTGATGCGATTGCATCTGTACTTTTGTTCTCAATTATTATAACTACACATTGATTAAATTATAAATTTGTTCATAGATACTTTCTTTCTCTCTTTTTTAAAATTATGAAGCTTCGCTTAATGCATTTACATTAGATAGTACAGTATGGAAGAAATCGGCCTATCTCCCAATCCTCACGAACACAATGAAGTAGATAACCCTGATTTCGCTCCGATAGCACCAGTTGACCCTCTTAGACTCAATGAAGAGGATTTATACCTGAAACTCAAAGTAAACTATATATTCTAATTTATTTTGTTTTAGTCTCTCAAAAAGCAATTGGAATTCATTAAAGTGCAAGAGAACTACATCAAGGATGAACAAAAGAATCTCAAAAAGGAATACATGCATGCTCAGGAGGAAGTTAAGCGCATCAAAAGTGTTCCGCTAGTTATTGGTCAATTTTTGGAAGCTGTAGATCAGAGTACTGGTATAGTTGGTTCCACCACGGGTTCGAATTACTATGTTCGTATTCTCTCTACAATTGATCGCGAGCTACTAAAGCCAAGTGCTAGTGTTGCCCTTCATAAGCACAGTAATGCTCTTGTTGATGTTCTTCCTCCAGAAGCAGACAGTAGTATTACTATGCTGCAAGCTGGTACGTTTTGGCACTCTATTAATCTTCGTCTATTTGTCTCCGTTTAATTGATATTCCTTGAATTTCCAGACGAAAAGCCCGATGTTTCCTACGCTGATATTGGTGGAATGGACTTACAGAAACAGGAAGTTCGTGAAGCTGTTGAACTACCTTTAACTCATTTTGATCTATACAAACAAATTGGTATTGATCCACCTCGCGGCGTGCTTATGTTTGGTCCTCCTGGTTGTGGAAAGACTATGCTTGCCAAAGCTGTCGCCCATCATACTACTGCTGCCTTTATTCGTGTTGTTGGTTCTGAATTTGTGCAGAAATACTTGGGCGAGGGCCCACGTATGGTTCGTGATGTCTTCCGGCTTGCCAAAGAGAATGCTCCTGCTATTATCTTTATTGACGAAATCGACGCCATTGCTACTAAGCGTTTTGATGCGCAAACTGGAGGTAAATTGTTTAATGTTGGATAACTTCTAAATCTATCATCCAAATAATCAAGGTCAATTTTATTGCTTCCAGCTGATCGTGAGGTACAGCGAATTTTGCTGGAGCTTCTTAACCAGATGGACGGTTTCGACCAAGCTGTGAATGTCAAGGTACGTTTCTCTTACCTTATGAGTAACTAGTTTATAATTTTTGGTTTCTAAATGTAATCATTGACATGCACGAAGGAAGTATTGCAAATAAGAGATTCATCCTACTTTTCTATTGTCTACCAGCTGTCGTTTGCTCATTGTGGGCGATGCCAGTTTCTTACAAGCTCTCCCTTGTTTTATCTGTTTAAAAAAAGCTACATAAGGGAAACCTCCAACCAATTTAGTTTTTTACTTCGCCATGTTAAATACTCTGGAAGGCTGACTGAGTCTCTTGCATATTTTTAATAAATTCTGAGATCATTGACCATTACGATTTGTAAGCGTCAATGGTTTTGATTATGTGATATTTAATTTGAAGACGCATGCGTTTTCGAACCATTGCTAGCTACGCTTGTTGGCACTTTTTCAGATATTTAATTTTCTGTTCAGGTTATTATGGCCACCAATCGAGCTGATACTCTTGATCCCGCCCTACTCCGTCCTGGACGTTTGGATCGTAAGATCGAGTTCCCACTCCCCGACCGTCGTCAAAAGCGTCTAATATTCTCCACAATCACCAGCAAGATGAACTTGAGCGAAGAAGTAGATTTGGAAGACTATGTTGCTCGTCCAGATAAGATATCTGGTGCTGATATTAATGCCATTTGTCAGGAGGTACCGTCCAGCTCCTAAATCTACTACTTATTTCTTATCAGCAGCTATTTCATGCCTTCTTATTTTTTAGGCTGGCATGCAAGCAGTGCGTGAGAATCGGTACGTCGTTTTGGCCAAGGATTTTGAAAAGGGCTACAAGAATAACATCAAGAAGGGTGACCAGGAATTCGATTTCTACAAGTAACATATTTCTTTCTGTACTCTTTGTGTATTTGCACGCATCTGTATTCTCCCGCGAATAAAGTTTTGAAACTTCCTTAATTTACTGTAATTCATTCATGTTCATCTTTTATCTTTACTGCATTGAAATCTTACTTTTTTCAACTACGTTGAAGTATTCAGTTCCATTCACTTAATTCTAAAAAAATTTAGACATTCCGTGCATATTGGTTTTTATAACGCGAATTTAAACAATGCCCTATTATCGGAAATGGCAACGTAAATTAATTCCAGCCTAAGTAATTTTAAATGTGGATCTGGGCATTTAAACTGTCATAGGTGCCAGTGATAAAATTACCGCTACCGTGAATCCTTTGGAACATCTTGGTTCAAACAATCTGCCTCACATATAAGCCTTCCCCGTTTCTTAAAGCTAGCCGCCCTGAGCATGATAACTAGGCTTTCGCCCACGTAACTCCGCTTATTCCCGTCCTTCCCACTTTCAAATTTTTTGTTAGCGTTCAACACACCTAAATCCCGGATTTTCAACTTTTGGAGAGCGGATTTCATCTTGTGGCCACTCGAAGAGAATTTAATTTAGGCTAAAAGTCGCATTCTTTTTCAAGACAATTCCTAGCAGAGAACAATTGCTATTATTAGATAAGCTCTTCTAAATGAAGTCCTTAGATTTAACTTGTGTACTACGGCCAAAACAGCGAGGAGATGAAACCGACACCCTCGTTCCCTTTAGGCTCAGAATGTCTTATTGAGAAAGGCAGGTGTATTCACCTCCACACAAACTATAGCCAGTCGATGCAATCCGCTGCTTCCAGTGTTTAGGTTCGTCATAGGACAACCGAAGGATTAATATTTGTAGTGTTATTTACTAATAATGCTATTTTGTGTACTATTTTTCATCTGTTCCATTGGACACTTAAAAGAGTGATTCCAGGGCTTCTCTAAACGTGATCGCCTCGCTTAGCAAAGCCCAGTCTTCGTTCATGAATGAACTAAAGCTGGCGTTGCTAATAGTAATCCTTACAAGGCGCAACTGCATGCCATTTGCAAAGCTGTGCCTATAAGTCAAATGAAGACAACAGCCAATATGTAGGGGGAAGGGATTTCTGCAAAAGCATTTATATATATGATACATTCAATGCAAGAAGACAGACAGAGAGAGAGAGAGAGAGAGATAGAAGCTAAAATATGTGAGAAGAGATACTATACAGAATAGATAACAATAATAGAGATGACGATGGTGTTGATGAAAGACACGTTCTCGGTATAGGGAAGATGTCAACGCTTTCTTTCCCTTCCTAAATATGGCCAATTTTGAGACTGGCTTCTCCTTGCCGTCCAGATTTGTAGACACTGTCCGATTGTGTCTGAAATGCAACCAATACAATTTATCAACAGCTTTTTCCTTAAGCATAATAATGAAAGATAATTGGTGAAAATAAAATCCTTTCTGAAGAAAAAATTAGCCAAGGCAAAAAGACGAAGAAAAAGGGAGTTGCTGAGGGAAACTCCCACGATCAGTGAAGGAATGGCGTACACTAATTTGACGTTAACCAACATTGGTTAGCACTAACTAGACCAGTTAGTTATTCTGCTCAAAAAGGACATTCCAATATGGATCGATATTGCAGACACTTTAATGAAGCCGCCAGTCATTCTGCCTTACCTTTTAATTCAAAGACCGAAAGTCTATGGTAGTTATGAGAAAAGCAACTATATAGTACAGACTTTCGGTAGAATTAAGTGCTGAATTACAGAGTGCGCTATTCTTGAATGATTTCATGATTCCTGAGTGAATTTATTGTTACCAGGATAAGCAGATATTTCTGGATTTGGGCAAAGAAAATCACCCCCCCCATTCCCATCCTTGGAGCATATTTGTTAATTTCTACAATACCCCATAGACCAGTGGTCATGGAAGGGTGAAAGTATGCACCCGAATTCACTTCAAAGGGAGGACACACAACGAAGTAGATTCTGTGGTATGTTCAAGTCATATAGTTGACACGCTATTTTGAAATGCCACTGGTGTCTTCTAACTTACATTGAGACTGCGTCCATTCTTAACCAGAGGCAACGACCGGTCTCGGTTAGCCGCCCAGGGTCCGGAATGCGTTGGCTGCTGCTCGGTGGCGAAGAGATCACTTTCAAGGGCCATCTCCTCTTCAGTGAATGCGAATTGATCCACAAACGGAGTGGATCGTTGAAGAGATGGCGGGCGACGTGATGACGCGGTGGATGTTTCCCTGTTGAAGTGCCGGTTTGTAGATGTGGATGAGGCACTACCTGCACCGTGTTGTCTGGAACCTGCGGGGTTTCGTCGGTTCAGGGTTGAATCAAGAACCTGTAAAGCACACACGCACTGTTGTAAAGACCAAGCACAGAGTTAACGGTCAGCAACTACAAATGTTAAGAGATACCGATCCCGAAAGCAAAGCACCTGGAAATGAGGAGTGAGGTTTTGACTATAAACTTTAATGAGGATCACTTACCATCACTTATGTCTAATCTCCAACTGACTATTTTTATCATTCTAAGGACTAATTTCTAAGTATTCTGTTTCGATAACAAACACATCAATAAGAAGATTAATTTAAGCCAGCCACTTTTTTGAGGCTAAGCCTATCTTTGATTAAACAATTAAGGCTCTATTTGTATAGCGTAGGAGGGAACAATCAATATTTGAGAGAGGCTAAGCACGCTTGAGACATTATTTTATTTCATCGCTGGCATTTGATTTTTTTTGTAGCATATGGGGTGTGCGATAGACTTACCTCCACGTGGTGCACCCTGGGCAACGTATACTCAGTTGACTACTGACTTTAAACTACCATGACCCTCACTGTAAGTCATAGTCGACCACTTCTACAGCACTCACCTAACCCTACTCCCTACCATTGTGTCTGCCTCTTTTACATCTGCAAATCACTCTTCGGTCCACCCTCTTGCAATTTTCTAACTTTGATGTTCCACCTCCCCTCTGTGAAGTTCGAAGTCAGCTAAGGGCTAATGATAACTATCAAACTGCCTGCCATTCGAAATAAATAAATTTTCACGGATA